AGTGGGCATTGGTATACAAGACTTTGGTCAGCGGTTTCTCCCTCGACCGGGAACGAGGGGTAAACCGCTGAGGGCATTGTGGTGTACAGATTTGCGGCATTGCTGGGCATTGCTAGGCATTACTAGGCTATTTTGGGCATTAGTTCGGGCATTAGGCCTCGATGGGGTATTATAAAGATAAAATAAGATAATGAGATAAAGTAATGTCCACTGGGCATTAATGGGTTGGTGTATACAAGATTTTGGTCAGCGGTTTCCCCCTCGGGATTAACTCTATCGTGACTACTGCGAGTCCCGTATTTCTTAAACAGACTCAATAGTTCAACATGCGTTTTACTACTGAAAAAAATGTATAAGAAAATTAAAATGAAAATAATTCCATTACGGAGGGAATTTTCTTTTAAAATTTGTCCTGCAACTTATGCAATCGACAACACGGCATTTCGAAGAGTTGTTTGAAATGTTGCCATCCATTTCACTAGTAATTATATTTGACTAGTAAAATGTATGGTAAAATTTCAAAAAAAAAACCCCTCGTAAAACTCTTCGCAAAGCCGTGTTATCCCGCGATTACATAATTGTCTAAGCTTTACTAGTAAAATGTATGGTAAAATCTCCAAAAACTCTCGTAAAGTTGTTCGAAACACCACGTAGTCTCGCGATCGCATAATTTTCGGGACCAATTTTAGGAGAAACTTCTCACCGTGCGCGCGTTCGACGTAGCGTTGCCTGACGGCGTCCCTTACCCTTTTTCAGCCAGGACCTATTGACGGTGTGTCGGGAATTGAACCTCGAGAATTCGGTGGAGGAATTGATGAGGGAATTGGGCGCGGACGAGCACGGTCGCATTTCCTATCAAGAGTTCCTTAGGCGGCGTCTGGCTTTGCGACCGGAAATCGAGGCGCTCAGGGCCGGCAAGCGGCGAAGCAGCCCACACCACACCCACACGCCCGAGTACCTGCCCACCAGCAGCGACAACAGCCTCGGTAAGAAATCGCGCAAATCGCTCGAATTTCCGCGACGGATCCGCTCCGCCTTTCCGCTCAGTCGCGACGATAAATCACCCCCCCTCTCGCCCCGGCCGAGAAGAACCGGGAGACAAATATCGGCATCCTCGTTTGCCGCCTCTGGAAGTATGGACGACGTTTGTTCGGCGCGAAGAATCGTGCAGCACCGCCGGGCGATGTATCGCGATCTGGCGTATCACCGTGTCGCGCGGAAATAGAGCGCGAGCCGTCCGCGCGAAATTGATGATTGATGGAACAATGAATACGGGACGACCGCGGAAACGCTGCAGCGGCATAATATCCCGATCGAGCGGGTCGCTACGCGGCGATACGCGAGATCGATGGGCGAGCTGGAAACGACGACTTTTCGAATATTGCACGTATTCGCCGCGCGCGCTTCCGCCCCTCGGCGTTCGCTGTCAACCGTGAATCTTCATTGAACGACAGCCGGACCGTGAAAAGGGGCGACTCGCGATTGTTACTTTTCCAATTATTGCGCGCCGTTACGGACAATCGGGGATATTCGCGCGCAACTTTTCCCTCCAAATAATTCTTCTCGGGGCAAATCTTTCGTTAAACATGGCGCTGTTGAATTTGTGACGTTGAACGTGACTCGACGAGCAGTCACTCCCATTCAGTGCGTTGCTAGTTTTAACTGCGTAGCAAAATTTATTATTTTAACGCAAATTGTAGTTAAACGAAACGACAGCTTTTATTTAAATTATTTTGCGGCTTCTTTTAACTCCGTTGTTTCATTAAATTAGCAACGTATCGCGACTACAATGCACACAAATGTACACTACACGGGGAGAATTTTCTCAAGAACTTTATGAAAGTTTTTTAAAAGTTTACCATACATTTTGCTGGTAAAATGTATACGAAGTATAATCACCGGTGTAATGTATGAGAATTCTTCGAAATGCCGTGTTGTCCCACGATTGCAATATGTTCAGGACAACTTTTAAAAGAAAATTCTCCCCGTGCACAAATTCAACAGCGGAGTCGCGTCTCCGCTCGATTTTTTTCTCACAAGTACCGTATTAGCGCGTTACTCGTGATTTCTATTTTCAGGCACTGTGTCGGGACGACATGAGAGTTGGGAGTTCGACAGCGGTGCCCGCGATTTGTCGCCGGAACCTCACAGTCTTCAGAAGTTAGTGGAGGCGGCCGCCGGCGGAACAGGAAATATGCTGGACCTCGCAAATAAGGTGAGCCACAACGCATCCGCCCTCGTCGACGAAACGACCGTCGATATCTTCGGCCAGCTCTCTCTCTCACGGCGTTAGATTCATCGCGCGTTTCGTGCGCGAATCGCGTGATCGCTTGGCGAATGTCTGTCTTACCGTTACGAAACTCCCGATGGAGGAACCTGTCGTACCGTATCGCGTTCGCGTAGATCCAACTAAAATTCAGGAGGACCCCACACCCTCAAAAAGGATTTCTGTTACCGAGACAAAAAATATTCTCGACGCACTTATACATTTCTTACAACCTCGTTTAGCATAAAAATAAGACGATGTCAAAATAAAGTCAATAATTCTTATTCTCCTCTATCGAATTAAAAAAGATTGACTTACTATATTGAGACAAGAGTAACTTACATAAACGTAAGTTTATATATTCTTGCGTTTAAAAGAAATTTCCCCTCTTACAACGCACCAAGTTGGCACCGCGATATTCGACAAAAGACGATACGTGCTATCATTTTATTGTAGATTTTAGAATTTTTCATTTAAAATTCCTTTCTCTATAATAAATATGATTGGCGCTATATCGATCCTATTTTATGATACATTAAAGTGCAATAACATTGGATCCGGAAATTTTTTTCTGTGGATGCACCCTCTCTAAATTTTAGCCACTGCCTATGCGTCTGCGTAACATACGACACTAACGCGTTACCGAAGAGAGGGAGGGAAACTCGCAGAGAAAAGTGTCTTTCCTGCTACATAATAATTTCAAGTATCCGAAGTTGAGGGAGATCGCGCTGGAAACTATCCGACGGAGAGCTCTGGTATACTTCCGCTTGTTAATGCAACATTCGCCCTGATGGAAAGTCAACGAGACGCGCAATTATCCAAAGGCAAATTGTCTTTGCATGCCGATAATCCTCGGTTTTCCTTGGCGAGAGAGCGCACTCGTTCGCTCAACTCCTTCATCTCTCCCGCCGTCCGCGGCTCTCTCTATTATTTCCCTCTTCGTATCACGAGTTCGCGCCTGGGAATTTCTTTGTCAGCCGCAATTAACCGCGATACCATACCGCGCCGAGGCGCGGTATGCCATCGTGGAGGATAGTAAGACGTGCAATTTCTGCATTCCCTGCTTCTCCCCCGTTCGCTCGTCGATCGTCCCGCGCCGTCGCTTCGGTATCGAATTACGGGGTGCAGATTGGGCGCCGTCGACATTTTATCGTTTACACCGCGTTTCTTAATTTACCGTTGGAAAATGTAATCGATCGAATTTGAAAGAACGAGCTGCGTTAACAAACAGCCGAGTTATATAACAATGTTGAAAAAGAAGACCCGAAGCGATCTCATTCCTCGTGATCGCTTCTGATCGCTCTATGCGAGGTGCAGATTAAACACTGTCGGCATTTTATCGTTTGCACTGCGTTTCTTAATTTGCAGAATATAATCGATCGAATTTAAAAGAACGAGCTGCGTTAATAAAAGAGTTGGCAAACAGCTGATTTATGTAACAATGTTGAAAAAGAAGATCAGAAGCGATCGCATTCCTCGTGAATTTTGTAACGTGAAAGCTTTATCTAAAATGCGATCGCTTCTGATCGCCCTGCAACTTCGAGTTTGCTTGATGTCTGGAGAAGACGAGCGCGTTATCGAGCAAACTCGAAGCTGCGGAGCGATTTTATTGTTGGATAAATTTTTCACGTTGAAATTGACGCCGCGAGTTCTAACGTGTAGCGTCCTGAAAATTCGAGCTCCCGCTTGAGCCGCTTCGACGACGGAATTCCCATCTCTCGGGGCGTTTTGGTTCCGCGGATGATTCGGTTCGCGATCGCGCTCGTAACCGCGCGCCTCCCCGCTCGTTTTAAGAGCCACGACAGCTGCCGCAATGGGAAAAGAGAAATAAAAGCGCCCGGACCAAATTCCGAGGTTATCGCGATTTCTCGCGAGGGCCTCTCCGCTCTCCCCGGCGTTTCGAGGAACGAGAACACGGGAGAACAGAAGGAGGATGGCTTCGCGGAAGGAAAAAAGAAGCGCGCGCCGTTTACTGCCTATAAATAACCGTTATTACGCTCCGCATTACGGCATTCGAAAAGAAACGAAAAGAAAAAAAGTAGGGGGGGAGGGGAGCGAGAAGGCCGCGCCGGCGAATTTTGACCGTTCGAGGAGAAACGTCGCGGCTCCGCGAAGAATTTATTAAGAGGATAATAAAAAGCGATGCGTATATACGAAATAATAGCTTTTCTTTTATTACGAGCGCGTAGCCACCCCAAGGCGTAAATATATCTCGGCGCGCCACGGCGTAACGTGTGCGCATTTGCGTTTTGAGAGAAAAAGACGCCGAGGACCGACCCATCCGCCACGCTCATGTTTTTCCCCCGCCTCTCGCCGCCCCCCGCCGGCTGCGTGTGTGCGGAAGAGCTTTCGCGCGTCGCGCCACGATCCTGACGTCGCGCGGGGGCGTCGTCGCAGGACGTCCGCTTCCCCGGGAAAAGCGCGAATACGCCGCGTCTTGGACCAACCCGCTCGCCCATACGGCGGAGACGCTCTCATCCTACGTGAAACGCGAATTTCCATAGAAATGGAATGGAGAAGTCGCGGGAGGGAGGGAGAGAGAGAGAGAGAGAGAGAACGAGAGACGTCGGAGCAAACATAACAGCGATGTTAATTCCCGTCGTTGCTCTCCGGCGTGGAAATTACCGGAGTTGCGTTACCGCGCGGCTGCCGCGCGATTGAAATGCGTGCAACATCGATTCGCGTATATCCGTCGTCATAGCTGCAGTGGAGAACTCGATGCCGTGTTTCGCGGGGGGGGAAAAAAAGAGAGAGCAGAAGTCGAGTCCGAAACGGGAGGACGCGCACGGACGAACGCGAACGCGCGATCCGCTTTAACCCGAGCGTTAAGGCGGATTATGACAAATCCCATGTACCATAAACACCGTGTTATTTTCGCAACCGTTCTAGGTGTCTAGTTCGCAGCAGCGCTTCTCAGCAAATGTACAATTAAGTATATTATATGGACACGGTTCTCTGTGCGTACGTGCAATTCCAAAACCTTGTGCCTCTCGGCCAGGGCGATTTTCGCGAGACATTAGAGGCCGAACGCTGTTTCAAATGAATATAATCCTCTTCGAATACGATTCCACGTGTTATATGCGCTTGTTTTGGTAAGTTGGATCATTTTGCGTAATTGTGGCCTCCGCGATCGCCTTGCAATACAGAATTAAAGATCACAAAAACGAGACGCTTGACTCCTTATCGCTTAACTGTTAATCATATTACATTACCTGTCGTATCTAAAAAAAAACTTGTACCGATGATTTTGTGCTGTACTCTCTAAAAGTCGATCAGTGGATCATCACCGAAAACATGTGAATAGTCACCGATTTGCAGTTACAAATGTGCCACTGAAAGTCGCAGTGGTATACATTTAATTGTGAATCAGTGACTATTCACTGTTTCTGTAGCCCTAAACGTACGCACTTTGATTTCTTATTTCTCCACTTTTATATACATGTGTACGAAGTTAGGATTTTATTTATTTGTAACGAGCTTGCCATAAGGTAACAATGCTTTATTTCTCGTAACTCGCATCGTCACTTTCTACGCGAAATAATGCGTTTTTCTGCTCTCATATCTTTGGAGATTACGAGGGAGAATAATGTCACTTTCTAAAAATAAATCGGTGAATTATCACCGAAAACAGCGAATAGTCAGCGATTTGCAGTTACAAATGTGCCACTGAAAGTCGTAGTGGTATACATATAATTGTAAATCAGCGACTATTCGCTGTTTTCAGTGCTAATTCACTGATTGCCTCTTAGAGAGTACCGTGTGGTATCCAGAGATGCAATTAATATTCCTTAATTGTGACAAAACGACCATAAAAGGGAAGAAGAAAGCGCGACGGGGCGCCGCGCAGGCGACGGAGAGGGACGAATTGTTATCAGAGCGTGCAAAGAAGGATGCGTGGAAGCGCTGTAAAAAAAAATGGAGCCGGATAGGCGATAGGCCGCGACGAGAGGTAATAAAGGCCGCGATGTAGAATTCCGTAATTTGCCGAACAAATGACCCGTTGCGGGCGATTCGAGCGCGCGATAACCCGGCGACGATCGGCCGGTCGCCGCGCTCGCGTCTCGAAAAGACGGAGAAATATATCCCGGCTGGGACTGGGATGTTTTTCTAGGGCGGCCGATCGTTATTTTCCATCGCGGCGCCCACGTTCTTTCTACGGAGGATATTTACTTCCGCCCGCACGCCGTCGGCGGGGACCCCGAGAATTCCGCACCTCCTCGTCGTCTTTCCCATGAATTCCCGCTGATACGCTCGCGTGACGCAATAAACGGTACGTCGTGTTGATGATACCGTAAGACGCGGTAAAATTGCGCACAACAGGTGTGCGAGACCGAGGGCGGAAAAAGGATCTCGGCGGAAAAATTCATGATCCGCCGAGCGACGTAGACGCGTGTTTCGTGCAAATTCACGAGGGCCTCGTGAGAAGGGAAGGGGGGCATCTTGATAGACGCTGTACACAGAGAAAATGATTTCTTTCGATTTAATCGGTTGTGTTGTATCCAAACAAATCATTTCTTTCAATTTGAGAAATAATATAATATTATTTTTTTTGTGTATTGTAACACATAAAATTTACATACACGAAATTTTTCAATAATTGAAACACTGTCGCAACAGCATATTCCTGAGACTGAAAATGTTTCAGTCAAAAGTTGTTCATATTACGTAGTAGAATAAAATTATAGTATAATAAATGATGGGGGGTTCCATTTAAAAAAATTGAAGGAAACCTTCACGTGACCTTCAAATGACTATCCAAGGTCAAGTCAATGGCACCACCTTATGTCCCCCTTCGAACCAAACAACTTTTGTTTGAAACGTTTTTCGGTATTTTTCATATTTTTGAAGATATTTGCGGATCATTTAAAATGGGACACCCTGTATAAGAATGACCTATGAAGAATATTCTTAAAATGTTCCATAGGAGTCTCTTGTGCTATCTGGGTATGCGCATTGCGTGATTTCTGCACGGAAAAAAAATGCTGTTGCTTGAATGAAAGGTTGACGTCACGGGCTGCCACGAACAC